GTCAGCTCACCTTCTCTGCATCACTCCTAAATCTGTTTAAAGCCGGCGATGCAAAGACCTTACCCGTCACGGAGCACAACACTTGCTGACACAACAGTCTGACAAAATGCCCAGATTTCAAAAGCAATACCATCAATAACATCAATTCTATAGAAAAAGTCTGCTTTCACTCTGCGTTACAATACAGAGACATGGCTTTCCTGAAAGTGTCTCTGACAAATGATGATACAGTGCAGTCTTTTCACAGGTGGATTATGTTAGAGGTTTCCAAAGCTTAATGTAAAATTATTATCGGCTATCTCTGTTACCCTAAAATGGGGGTCTTCAACAAAGTATGCTGCGGTACTGAAGGAGGTCGGCTAGTTTTTGTTTCAGCTCTAACTAGTTGAATCTCAAACTGAAATGAAAATATGCGTTTGGACAAAAATACAATATCAATTAAATATCAACAAAGCTAAAGCAACATCCAGGAAACCACATGGTGATGAGTTTTACTCATGACCACTCATAATTTCTTGAAAAAAAGGTAAATGTTAAAAGAACAGCAATTATTTGAAATAGAAATGTTTTGTAATATTATAAATGTCTTTGCTGTTACTTTTGATGCATCCATTCTATATTCATTAAAAACAAATACTGACCCTAAACTTTTAAACAGTAGTGCACCGTATTGTTACCTGTGTATATACTGTATATAATAGTCATGACATGTTTCTAAAATCAAAGTATGTAAATATATTAATAATGTACCATACTCAGGTAATTATAGGGCCCTTGAGCTGAAAATGTTTAAAGACCCCTGTCTTAAAATATTTCAAGGAAGTGCTGTGTTAGTGTTAGATGTTGGCCATCAGGCATTGGCAACCACCCACAACACTCACATTTTCTATAATGTTAAATGAAATGTAATTGTTTTTGTTTCATTTACCAAAATTAAGTTGTATTGTTTATATATGTGTATTATAGAACTGTGTATATATATCTGCATGACTTCTGCCGTCTGTCATCCTGCATTATAATTTGCCACTGAAAACAAAACAGTCAGTCTATAACTTCTGTGTGCATCCAAATAATTTAGGACTGTCATTTGATGTGGTTTATAGTGGTTCAATTATTGAGTTCGGCCTTGTTGTAATTCTGAAGAGGGCTTTTACGCTTAGCTGAAGTTCGGTCAGCACGAAGCTTCAAAGTCACCTGCCCTGCCACCTTAATAACACACACACATGCGGATATGCATGAATAAATATAGGAACTTCAAGCAATTAGATAGCATAGCAGTGTGGCCTGCCTCTGTGCCACATTGACTCAATTAGAGAGCTTGTTATGCTTCCATTAGCACTAATGAGCAGGACAGAGTGGGTGAGAGGTTGAGGAAGATGGGGGAATGAGATGGGGTCTGCCCTCTCTCACACACACACTCCTGCGCTCTCTTTCTATGCTTCTTGTTTACCTGTCAGTTATTCGCTTTCAGTACAGGACAAATGGAAGGACAACTGGTGACCGCCACTATCGACATGCCTCACTCTCTGCCATTCTCTCCGTCTGGCCTCTGTCTGTGTCTCGTTCTCATTTTGTAGCTCTAATTAGTATGATCTTTGTTTCTCAAATCTCTCTCTTTCATTCTGTTGTCTGGTCTATTTCATTTGTATTGACTGGAGATGTGTGACTCGGATATCCTTCGCTGGTGTTTTAATGCCATTTGATGTCCAATTATTATTTTGTCTTTTAAACTCAATTTGATATGATAAACTTCTTTTGCGTGTCCTGCGTTATACTTTATTGCATGTATTTGTCTTTCCTGCAGGTGTCATCGACTTTCTGGTCAGCCAGCATCCCATCGCTCAGGTCCTGCGTGATCATGTGATCTTTAAGATCGTTCCCATGCTCAACCCTGACGGCGTGTACCTGGGAAACTACAGGTCAGCTGAAATGAACAATCGTGCACATAATATAATATTTTAAATTGTATTATATTTACATTGTAGTTTTATTGCAACAGGCATATGTTAGTTTCCAGTATCACATAGTAATTTGAATATAATAGATATTTTGTGTATATTATTAGATATATAAATGTTATCATTTATTTATTTATTACATTTTATTTAATGCCATCATTGAAAATATATGTATGGGTCAGAAATATATTTTTTATCAGTTTAATTCATTTTAATTTACTTTTATTCAGCAAGGATGTCATTCAAAGGTGTCAGTAAAGACTTACCTTGTTACAAAAAAAATCTACTTCAAATAAATGCTGTTCTTTTTAAACTTTCTATTCATCAAAGAAGCCTGAAAAAATGTTTCATGGTTTTCACAAAAATATAAAGCAGCACAGCTGTTTTTAACATTGATGATGATAATAATAATAAATGTCTCCTAATCACCAAATCAGCATATTAGAAGGATCATGTGATGCTGAAGTAATGGCTGCTGAAAATTCAGCTTTGACATCACAGTAATAAATTACATGTTCAAACATATTTAAAAAGAAAGCATTTATTTAAAATTATAATAATATTCCACAATATCACTGTTCCTACTGTATTTTATATCAAATAAATGCAGCCTTGGTGAGCATAAGAAATTTATTTCAAAAACACAAATCTTACAGTTATTATTATTATTATTATTATTATTATATTATGTCATCATACTCAAAGCCCCTTATCTGTCAGTATTTTATGATACATTTTACACAAGTGAAGTGAAAGCTTACAAAAGTGAATTGTAATACAACTGTGTGAGTGCAGTGGCCTCTCTACACTAGGACTACAGTTGGTCATGCACGGCAGGTGTTATCTTCACTCCTAATCCCATTATTGGCTTTTATATAATGGTGGCGATCATTTTGAATACATCAGAGGCTCGCTGTGTTTTTCCAAATGCAGCCTTGGTGAGCATAAGAAATTTATTTCAAAAACACAAATCTTACAGTTATTATTATTATTATTATTATTATTATATTATGTCATCATACTCAAAGCCCCTTATCTGTCAGTATTTTATGATACATTTTACACAAGTGAAGTGAAAGCTTACAAAAGTGAATTGTAATACAACTGTGTGAGTGCAGTGGCCTCTCTACACTAGGACTACAGTTGGTCATGCACGGCAGGTGTTATCTTCACTCCTAATCCCATTATTGGCTTTTATATAATGGTGGCGATCATTTTGAATACATCAGAGGCTCGCTGTGTTTTCCCATAGGCCCGCAGAAACTGCGTCAGTGGCTGCCACCTTGTGACGGCTCTCATGAACTACAGAGCTGCAGAGGCGGATCAATGGTTCAGTGGTGGTGACAGGGCTGACATACGACATACGCCACCACTGACCCTTAAAGGTGCTCTCGACAGCAACTTTAACCGATGCTGCCTCAACAAGAGCCATTGAGGTCAATAATTAGAGATCAGATCCATCTCTCTCTCTCCCTCTGTGCTGAATCAGTAGTCTTTTGGTCGAGAGAGAGAGAGAGAAAGCAGGTGCAGGAGGGGACATGGGATCAATCCTTGCTGACTGGGGATTAGTGTTGTTTTGAGAGCAGCAGCATTGACTACAGGTTCAGCTCAAAGTCACAGAGTCTCAGCTGGACGGCCACAGGGACTTAGGCGTCTGTCCATTCCTCACATCAGTCCACTGCCTCAGGGAAAGGAAAATAACAAACAGAGACCTGTGCATGTCCAATGGTGTGGAAGAAGAAAACTCTTAATATTGCCCAAAAAACCAGACGCCACTTTCTGTCTGTAAATGTAGAGCAGTATGGTTGTCTTTAGTGTGTGTCATGATTGCTTTTTAAAGGAATTGTTCACCCAAAAATGAAAATCTGCTGAAAATGTACTCATCCTCAGGCCATCCACGATGTAGATGAGTTAGTTTTTTTTATCAGATTTGGAGAAATTTAGCATTGCATCACTTGCTCACCAATGGATCCTCTGTAGTGAATGGGTGCCGTCAGAATGAGAGTTCAAACAGCCAATAAAAACATCACAATAATGGATTGTGGATTTGCATTTTGTCCAGAAGCAGTGGTTTAAGGTGAAAATGCCTGATGTTTTTTTTTTCTTACAAACACGTACAGTAGCTTTTTATTTCATAAGATGTTAACTGATTGACTGGACTTGTGTGGATTACTTGTGGATTATTGTGATGCTTTAATCAGCTGTTTGAACTCTCATTCTGACGGCACCCATTCACTATAGAGGATCCTTTTGGTGAGAAAGTGATGTAATTTTTCAAAATCTGTTCCAATGAACAAACAAACTCATCTATATCATGGATGGCCTGAGGATAATCAACTCTTAAAATATGTTCATTGAAGTATTACATATACTGTAAATTATTATAGTAGAGCCACAATGAAACTGTGTAAACTTTTAAATCTGAATTCATCTGAAATTAGTAATATGTAATTTAAGTATGTGAACCAACCAGAAACTCTAATGAATGCAAATCTGCTGATTTTGAAATGTTTATGACAGACGCCACAGCGTTCATCCTCACAGCGATTTGATGTTTTTCACCTCTTATTTGCATAATGTTGACTATGTCACAACATTTTACCTCTCCGCTGTCAATCCCACAATGCCCTGCATGAGCCTGCCCCTCATCTCTCTTGCTCGCTCCGCACAAGTGGACATGTACTGTGTGTGTGTTTGTGTGTGTGTGTGTGTGTGTGTGTGATTTCTCTGCAGTTCTGACCACAGAATGTGTGTGGATTTCAATTTGAGCTGATCTGTGATGTTCAAACCCAATAGTAAATGACATGAAAGATTGTGGTCTCACAGCCCTGCCCACATGGAATCTCACTGGTCCAAAGTCTCCTCATAGTTACCTATTAAACATCAAATATGTTTATATTTACTGTGATATTATCACTTTGCACATTATTTTGCTTTCTGTGAGGTCTGCCAAAAAAATGTAAGGTATTGATGTTTTGTCATTGTTTTATTGAGTTGAATGGTTGATTTGTTTGCATTTATTGGTGTTCTCTAATGGGCTTCGATCTGAACCGTCATTGGCAGGACCCTTCCCCTTGGGCCCATCCCACTCTACATGCCGTCAAACAACTCATTGTCCAAATGAACCAAGACCCAGTGAGTATCCACATAGTAAAGCAGAAACTTTTTGGTGAAAAAAAATATATGCTATTGAAATTTCCTTTGATTGTCCTGCCCCAAAAACCAAGGCATTGAGTCGGTGTTGAGCTGGATGCTTAAATAAACCAATTAATGTTTCAATGCACCATTGAAATGCAGTGTATTATATTTTGGGGAAAAGCAGCCTTCACATGGTGCGCTTCTAATTGTCTCTATATATTAAACTAGGTTAGGAGAAAGTATTTTAACATTGAGCTTTAATAAAAACACACACTTACACACTGTATTTGAAGCACAAGGTTGTGTATAGTATGCATTACAACCTGGCCCAGCATATAGGAACGAATGTACTATTCAAAGCAGCTACAACTCAGCATTTTTCTTAATGAGTGTATCTATGTGAGTGTTTGCACTCCCTCTGCTCAGGTGAGTCACCTACACACACTCTCGCTTGTCTTGTCTTTTGTTTGAGAAAGCGCCGCCTCAACTTCCTTTATGTTAATTATAGCAGAAGAGTGAGGCTGTTGGATTAGTGAAGGTCAGATGCTGTCCTGGGAATCGTCTGCCCTTTCCTGCTCTTTCACATCCTGATAAGACCGGCAGGCACACTCAGGAGCGGAGGGCAGTGCCATGCGGCTTAACCTTTCCCCCAGGCCAGACACAATGATCAATGTGTTGCTTCACAGCAGAGTGATCTGCTCATGTCCCTCACATCCCGACAAACGCATACACGTATGCTTCATTACATCGTGTGATTAGATGTGAGGAACGTTCCATAGTAACGTAGTCGCACACTTTCCGTGAGTCCTAAATGGATCCAAACAAGCAGCTTTAAAACTCTTACTTGATTGCTTTGTTTGATTGAGCACCCCAGTCACCATAACCCAAAAGCATTGGTTTAATCGACCAATAGCAGACATAAAGTGTGTTCGGGAAATCTGTCTGAAAATGGTTCAACAGGTTAAAGTCTGTCATTACATAAAAAAGTACAATTATACACAATAACATATATAACAATATAAACAATAACAGTAATATTATTACAATATGTCATGTCGTTCCAAACCCGTAAGACCTTCATTCATCTTCAGAACACAAATTAAGATATTTTTGATGGAATCTGAGAGCTTTCTAACCCTCCATAGACAGCAAGGATATTACCACGATCCATGTCCATGTGGCATCAGAGTAACGGTAATTTGGGGAGAAGAATTGCTGAATAAATTATGTTATTATTGTTTTCTTTGGGCACAAAAAGTATTCTCGTTGCTTTGTAAAATTACGGTTAAACCTCTGATGTCACATGGACTATTTTACTGATGTCCTTGCTACGTTTCTGTGTGTTGATCATGGTAATATCTTTGCTGTCTATGGAGGGTCAGAGAGCTCTCAGATTCCATCAAAAATATCTTAATTTGTGTTCCGAAGATGAAATGTCTCACTGGTCCCATACTTTTGAATGGTGGAAAGAAGAAAAGAAAAGAAAAGAAAAGAAAAGAAAAGAAAAGACAGAGGCAGCTAGTTTAGACAGATGTGTAAGACGCTGGTTTTATGAGGAAAGAGTGTACGTAGGCAGGAGAGAAGGACTCTGGGGAGAGGTAAACATTTCATAGCTCTCTCTGGATCCCTCACTTTGTGTCCTTGTTTCATTCCCTTCTGTCCTTTTAAAGAGATTTAATGGGGTTTTTGGGAAATCATAGTGCCCCTTTCTCTTTTTTGTGTAGTTGTTACTAATAGCAAGCTCACACTAAGTTTGAGTAGTTGCCAGTTTAAGCACATGAAGTCAGAAGTTCACCTATCACTTAGAGGGGTCACCAAGGGAACGTAACTAGGAAAATGTTATTTCCCTTGTATATAATTAGTCATTAAGCTAATGCTTTTATCCAAAGCGACTTGCAGTACACTTATTACAGAAACAATCCACCTGGAGTTTAGTTGCTCAAGGCAGTGTACCAGAAATCCTGACAGCCCTGTGCGAACCACAAGTAGGGATGTCACACAAGCATTGAAATTAACACAATGTTGATATTTTAGGCTACAATAATCCTTTTGGCTTGCTGTGTAGCAGTGTAGATTTAAATGTTGAACCAAACAGTTAATGCAGAACAAGAATGTTCTAAAATGGAGCTGCTTCTCAAATCTTTCCTTTGCTCCACGAAAGCAGTTCGCTTGACAAAATCTGCTCCTGTGTGTAAATATACAGTATATTTGTGACTTCTATGCAGTATAAAAACAGACATGCAAATTTAATCAGAATAATACTATTGATAGATTTCCTGATATCATTTTGATGCAATATTGTTATGTCCATTTTCTGACAAATTAAAGTCATCATCTTAACTGTTGATGTAAATTATACAGGGGACCCCCTAAATTTGTACAGTCCAAAAATTACAATAAAAAAATAGGGCCTAAATTATTATGTATTAATTATGTTTGTGAGTTTTTTTCATAAATACAATACTGTTTATGTAAAAATATTTATGTGTTTTATGGAATTGTTCTGTGAGGATAACTCTCGTTATCATATCACATACTATTTGGACTGCAACTCAAGTAAAATATTAATTTTGTCATGGGGCATCATTTTTATTGGTTCATATGGCTTTTGTATTCATTCTGATGCCTCTTATGCTTGGTTTTAAGATTCATCCCGCTGAGTAATAATCTTGGGAAATCAAGAGAAATTCCAACTTGCAGAATGAGAAGTATGCTTATTGTGAGTTGAGCTCATATGAGCTGCTAATGTCTGTGAGGCAGTTTAGATTTGCATGGAGTTTTGGATTACTTGTGCATTTGTTGATGTTATTCACAATATGGCGTGGAGGGTTTTTGACTGATAAATACATCCCAGTATGCACAACAGAGGAGGAGAGATCAGGATGGGGAAACACTTCCCTCCCCAACATCACACTGAGCATCTCACAGCTATACTGACAAATACATACAAATGCAAACAAGTGCACTCACACATACACATACACATACACATACACATACACATACACATACACATACACATACACATACACATACACATACACAAACACATACACAAATGCAAACACAGACACATTACAAATATGCGTGCCATGCAAGATCTCAAGCCAGACTGGCATTGGCTGTGTTCTCTATGGTTAATCACGTTAGACACAGCACAGATCAAAGCTATGGGATGCCAATCTCTCTGCCAGCCCACAGGCAGGGGGCAGTGCCCCCACTGCCCACTGGCACATTCCACCAATATGGTACACTTTGGTCCATTATTATTTAAATCATTAGAGGCATAACTGCCAAGATATATATAAATATATACAGTGGGGAAAAAAAGTATTTAGTCAGCCACCAATTGTGCAAGTTCTCCCACTTAAAAAGATGAGAGAGGCCTGTAATTTTCATCATAGGTATACCTCAACTATGAGAGACAAAATGAGAAAAAAAATCCAGAAAATCACATTGTGGGATTTTTAAAGAATTTATTTGCAAATTATGGTGGAAAATAAGTATTTGGTCAATAACAAAATTTCATCTCAATACTTTGTTATATACCCTTTGTTGGCAACAATGACAGAGGTCAAACGTTTTCTGTAAGTCTTCACAAGGTTTTCACACACTGTTGCTGGTATTTTGGCCCATTCCTCCATGCAGATCTCCTCTAGAGCAGTAATGTTTTGGGGCTGTCACTGGGCAACACGGATTTTCAACTCCCTCCAAAGATTTTCTATGGGGCTGAGATCTGGAGACTGGCTAGGCCACTACAGGACCTTGAAATGAGGAAGACCGCGCTGAAAACATAAACTGACTATCCGCTGTCCTTCAAAAGTTAAAAGTCGCATATTGGACATTTTCTATATATATATATATATATATATATATACTTTTTTTTTAGAGAGAGAACTATTAGATATGTTTAACAGACTGTTATATTACAAAAATAAAACTAGAATGAAAAGTAATTCGTTTTAAATTTGTCATTAGTTTTAATTAGTTTGTCAGATATCTGTATCTTAAAAAGAAAGAAGCTATTGATAGTCTAATTTTGACCGTATTGTTTTGTTTTGTTGTTTTCAAATCCATTTTAAGTTTCCAGTCGTCAGTATGACGTGATCCTTCAGAAATCATTCTAATATGCTGATTTAGTGCTGCAGAAACATTTCTGTTATATCACAAAAAAAAATAAAACTAGAATGAAAAGTGATTTGTTTTAAGTTTTTAATTAATTTGTTTGTCAGATAGCTGTATCTTAAAAAGAAAGAAAATATATTGAAAACTATTTGATAATATTATTTTGACCCTTCCTACAGATTTTATTATTATTTTATTTTATTTTCCAGTTTTTTTCCTATGATGGCAAAGCTGTATTTTAAGTTTCTAGTCTTCAGGATCACCTGATCCTTCAGGAATTATTCTAATATGCTGATTTGGTGCTCAAGAAATATTTCTAATTATAAATGTTGTAAATGGTAGTGCTGCCGAATATTTTTGTGGAAACTACGATACTTTTTCAGGATTCTTTGACTAAACATAAAAAAAGCGTAATAAATAGATTTATAGAAAAATGTCAAATAGAGATTTTTTACCAATCTTTACTTGTGAATTTAATGCATTGTATGAATTCCTTAATTTCTTAAATATTAATTTGTATATGAATATGACATATGTTAGCATATAATGTATATATGTGTTATGTGTACACACACACACATACAAATGAATATTAATTAATATTGTGTGAGTCCTTGAATCTGACCTGATATTTCACCATTATCAGTACAGTTTATTTCAAATTTTAGTTTTTTTTTTTTTTTTTTTTTAATAAATTTTTTGGTCAATTTTTTTTTTGAATTCAAAAATATTTGGCATCACAGCACAGAACATGCGTCTAAGTGGTTATAATTGTAAAATGTTGGCCTTTTCCACTTTACTTGCCAGAAGATTAATATTGCTTAAATGGAAGGACCCTCTTCCCCCCAATTTTTCTCATTGGATTAAGGACG